CCTTCCTCCCTCCTTCCCTCCCTCCCTCCTTCCCTCTCCCTTCCTTCCTCTCCCTTCCTCTCTCTCCCTCTCCCTCTCTCTTGCCTCTTTTTTCTTTTTTTTTTAATCCTGTCAGGATATTTTTCCACTTGCTGCCTTGTTGAGAGACACCAAGTGTTTTGGATTTCCTACATCCTTTTCCCCTGGGGTCTCAAGGCTACTAGTGTCCATCCATTTTCCAGAACTAAAACACCACACCCTTCGTTCTGGATGAAGTCACACTTGGCCTGAGATGAGTTCATTTAACAGGTTCTGAGCAAAGTCTCTCTTGGTAACCTTTTGTGTGTTTTTTTTTTAGACTTACTTTATTTAATACATGACTATAGAACTTTCCAAGTCCAAAGGACCAAGAATGAATGAGACTTGCTATATCTATGCAGAGACCTGGAAGGGGGGGGGTATATTTCTTGCAAGTGGCTTTCTGCTGTGATAATGCAGCAGGGTACCAGATGGGGCCCCAAGGACCCCAGCCTTCACCAAATCAGCCACACAATTTGTCCTGAGTTTATCCAGAAAGCTGTTGAGGGGCCAGGGTAGGCATGCCTGACCAGAGCTGGAGCCGCCCCTCCTGGCCCTCAGCCACGCATCAGCTGCCTGTCATCTGGGGCTGGGATTGTTGGGGAGACACGCAAGCTTTCAGATGTTTCCATGAAGCTGGGCCAACTGGGGTCAGATTTTGTGGGAGAGTTCTGGGAGAGTTGAATTCCTAAGCATTCCAGTGCCCTCTGAAGAATGCCTTATCCCAGCTGGCCATCAGTGGATCATGCCCGTAACCCTAGCTTCTCAGGAGGTTCAAAGCCAGCCTGGGTAGGAAAATCCATGAGATTCTTATCTCCAATGAGCACCAAAAAGGCTAGAAGTAGAGCTGTGGCTCAAGTGATAGAGCACTAGCCTCATGCACGAGGCCCTGAAGTCAAACCCAGTCCCATCAAAAACAAAAGGAAACAAAAAAGAAAGTCTTGTCACATTTCTCTTTGCCTCTTCCTTCTTAGTGGCCAGAAAGTGGGGGGGGGGGTGAAGAGAGGTCTTGCCTGGCAGACACAGGGCCTCTATCCCCGGGAAAGCAAAGGGGAGCTACTGGCATGATCTCTGAGCTCCTTCTGGTTTGAATATCCCACCTTACAGCTCTGAACTGAGCTCTCAACCCCCAGGAATTAAGGAACCCTTATGTTGTACACACATCTCTCCTTAGCTTGCTAGACAGCTTTCCAGACACTCAGTCCCTTTGGTCCCTACAGGATGGGGATAATGGGGAAGCTGTCCCCTGTGTGGCTGAAGTTAGGGGGGTTACCCCCTGTACTCTGGGAACACATGCAGCCACAGGATAGCAGTGGCCCTGCCAGTACCCCAGGATCTGGAGCCCTCACACAGCCTCCTGGGGCTCAAGTCTTCCTTGTGAACAACCTCAAGTTCTCTGTACCCATTGGGTTTTTTGGACTGAACCCTTCTTTCCCAGGCTGTCCCCCCTCCCCAACCTGTGTGTGACCCCCCCACCCCACCCCCAGTCTACACCAAGGCCAACTCAGGCCGCCTGTATCCCGTTCTTGCTTGACCTCAGAGGGAGAGAGAGGGTGTGGGGCTAAGTTTGGTATCAATATAGTAAGAATTGTTTATTATCTGGTTTAAGCTGTCAGTCTGAGGTAGGAGGAAAAAGATTCGGTGTCTTTTTGGCCTCATGGACGTTGTAGAGAAAGCCCTTATTATAATAGTACCACGCACACCCTTGTGTGGGCTGAGGCCAGGTGAGTGGTCGGGAACCCAGCTGGTGGGCTGTGTCTGGGATGGAGAAAGGGGCTGCAGCCCTAGCGATCACATGAGTGGACACTGTAGGGGAGTGTCCACAGGATGGTGGTTCTCAGTCCTTGCTGTGTACCAGAGTCATAGAAACCCTGGCCCAGGGGCACAGACCTATGGGTGTGGATGGACTCGGGCAGTGGGGTTCACCTTCCTTCCCTCCAACCCCTTGGAAAGTTCTGTGCAGGAGGCTGCAGTGGCCTGCCCAAGGCTGGCTTGAATGGGGATTATAGAACCGCAGCTGCGTGGAGGCATGGGGCACTGGTCCCACAAGTCTAAGGAGTGCTGGGGGTTAGCAGGAATAGTTCCAATGCCCAGAAACCTTGTGCTTGGAGCCAGCAACTCTGCCAGGTGTTTGAGGCAGCCTCGTGCAGATGGACTTGATCGGGTTCCTAACGCTGGAGTGTGAGAAGCTGACACCTCGCATGCTGACCTTTACATTAGATGTGGCCTCTGAGAACCAGGGGCTTCCGGCTCACTGCATCAAGACGGCAGAGCGGAGTCCCTGGCATTGGGAAGGAAGCAACTGTGCCTTCCGGGCCTGCGATGCTGGGAATGCAGTTGCATGTATGGAACCTTATGTGGTGTGTAACAGACATGTATCTTTCCTCTTTCCTAAAGAGATTGTGTGGAGTGCCTGCTGCTTCGGCCGGGGAAACCCGACAACCAGTCCTGCCAGCACCTGTGCAAGGATGAGGTGATCACCTGGGCGGACACCATCGGTGAGTGTCCAGAGCCGTCCTAGTGCTGCTCCCGTGCACCGCAGCAGACTTCCAAAGGTCTCTCCCTGGGGAGCAGGGTGGAGTTAACCCTGAGTTGGGAAACAGCCTAGCCCCGCAAACACTGCTGGCGGGGAATGTTAAAGGCGGGGGTAACATGCTCTAGAAATCAGCTTGGCAGCCCCTCCAAAAAGTTACACAGAAAATCACCGCACAGCCTTCCCACGTATGCCCAAGAGGGTTGGGTTGATCTGTCTGCACAAAGGTTCAGGAGCTGTGGCGCAAGTGATAGAGCACAAGTCTTGAGACAAAAAAAAAAAAAAAGCTGTGAGTTCAAGCCCCAGTCCCAACACATACACAAAATGTTTATCTCCATTGGGTCATGATAGGCAGGTATCCACCCACTGGTGAGCCGAGAACCAAATGCCGCGTCCTGTGCATGGAATGTTTCCGAGCTGTAGGAAGGAGCCAGGTCCTAGCCAGCGTGCCAGCCCGTGTGAGCCCCCAAGCACCCCGCTAAGGGAAGGGAGCCGGACAGAAAGGAGCAGCGGCTGTCCCATACTGTCCAGATCTACATACACGAAATGTCCACCATCCACAAAGCCGATGGGGCTAGTGGTGGCCCAGGGGATCAACTGCTAGCAAATAGGAACTTGTTTTGAGGGTGATGCACATGTTCTGAAATCAGTGGGAATAGTTATGTGTCGCAAACTTACTAAGCCGACTCTTCACATTGAAGTGTTAAAATGGTGAGAATAAAACGCCGCACATACCTGGAAAGGAATGTGTATCAGGCTCCCCATTGACAGGTATGTCCTCTGCCTTGGCCTCCTGACCCTGGATCCCGTCAGTCCTGTCCCTCTATTACCTCTGGCGTAGAATTCCTTGTTCCCGCCTCCTTAGTTTTGACTGACTTTTTGGACAGATCGTGGTGTGGTTTGGGGCTACGTTGAGTCTTATATTTATCCCACCTGTATTCAGCAGGCAGCAGCTATGTGACAAGTTCTTTGTGATGCCCTCTCCCTCCACCTGCCTGCCCTTGCTGCGCTATGCTACCACAGGCCTGGCTCACATCAAGTTTGCCTGCATACCCGGGCCAGTTGCCTTCTAATGGGGTACATGTGGCCAGGGAAGAGGAAGGCTGCTTTCCCCATTCTCTTGGGCTATGCCCACCTGCTCCCCAGTTCAGCCTGAGCGTGCTCAGTAGGGAAAATTTATCTCTAGCTCATCCATGTTTTTCCTTCCTTCTCCTAGGCTTTAAAAAATATACACTCTCCCTTACCTAGAGAAAAACTCCAGGCTTTCATGTTTATAATCACACCAATTATCTGCTTCCAGATTAAAACTCCTTTGACCAGATTAAAAAAGGAAAATGGAAACGTACTTTGTGACATAATAGTAACTTTCTTTTCTTCTGGGTGCCTGTTCACCTGTTTCCTCTAGCTATTTTCCTTCCTATGGATCAAACGCTGGTACTAGAACCTGAACTCAGGGCCTGTTCTTTAGCTTTTTTGCTCAAGACTGGCACTCTACCACTTGAGCCATACCTCCATCCACTTCCTGCATTTTGCTGGTTAATTGGAGATAAGAGTCTCTTTATTTGTCTGCCTAAATTGGCCTTGAACCTCAATCCTCAGATGTCAGCCTCTGGAGTAGCTAGGATTATAGGTGTGAGCCACCAGTGCCCACCCCTGTGGATCAATTCTGTAACTCAGTGCTGGAGAAGCTGTGGATGGCAGACAGTACCTGGAGCCTGGATGCTGCTGCTGCTCTCTTGGGCTAAGGGCAGTATGGGGCAGGAAGGAGCTGAAGTGGCTGAGGCAGGGGCTTGTTAGCATCCAAGAGTGGCAGCTGTGTGTCTAGGGCTGAGCAAGGAACCCAGTTCAGTTTATCTCAATGCGTGGCTATCATTGTGTGACCAGCCTCACATCCTCCTTACGCTCAGGCTCTGACATCGCAGGGAGGAGCTGCTCTGACCTCTGTAGTCCACCCCCGTGCACTGTTCCCAAATGTGGACTCTCACGTGGGCATTGATGGCGGTGGGCCATATCCAGGATGATCTTGATCTATGCATTACATTTCCTCCCAATTCCATGTGCTCACCCTGCCCACAATCATCACATGCTTTTATCATTTTGTGTCACCCCACAAATAATTCAGCTCCTCTGATATGGCTCATGTGTCCCTAGAGTCATAAACTCAGCTCCAGGCCTGTGATTTTAATGGGAAAATCCCGAGCTTACTTTAAAGCCCTGCCACCGCTTTGTCTATGCGCCCTGACTCTGGATTGCTTGCCCTGACCGTCAGCAGCCTGGGTGCTGCCCTGAGACTCTCAGGACATTTCTTCTTGCCCTTCTTCTAGTGAAAGATGACCAAGAGGCCGTGCTGTGCTTCTACAAAACTGCAAAGGATTGCGTCATGATGTTCACCTACGCCGAGCTGCCCAGTGGGAAGTCCAACCTGACTGTCCTCAAAGAGCCAGGTAAGGCGGGCCCCCGGGGGTGCAGCGCAGCCCTTGGTTCTGGTTTTTGCCATTCTCTCCTGGATACCCTCTTAGCTAAATGCTAGAGAGCAGGGACCCAGTGCCTCATGATCAGGACCTAAGGCCACGGCCACTTTCACTCCTGAAACTTAGAAAAGAGGCAGATGGACTGCTGGGGTGGAGTGCCGGGGAGGTGACTGGGTTGATGGGGCTAAGGGAGGACTGGGTCTGGCCCTCAGGAGTCACCTTAGAGGAAATAGAACTTAGCTGGGGTGGGGCGTTGCTCATGCTGAAGATCATCGGGGTCCACATGCCCTCCCTGAAGGCCTCTTGGGGGGCAGTCTAAGCGTAGCTGGAACACTTGGTACTACATTCCTGCCTGATACCATCTAGGATCTGGGCCCAGGAACCCACAGCTTTTGCCTTAGAGTAATTGGGATTTCTAGATCAACTTTTTTTTTTCCTCTCTGGAGGCAGCTAGGGAACAGAGGTTTTTGTCTCTAATTCATCACCATGTAGACTTGGACTCCAAATGGAGGCAGACCATTGTGCCTCCAGTGGGCTGGAGACAGAGGGAAGTACAGTACCAAGCTCCTATGCTGGCCTGGAGCGGCCAGGCTCTGTATCAGACACCGCTTTTGCAGTTGTTTGAAAATAAGGCTTCCTTCCAGGAGGCTCCACAGGAAGGGCTTCAACATGGCCAGTCCTTGTAGAAGTCTTCCCTGCTACTTTCTGTCTGCCCGGTCAATCCCTGAAGCCATCGACATGAAAGCTAAGCCACAGTCCAGCACTCTGCATGGAGCTGGGCCAGGCTGGGGGAAGGGGGCTACCCCTTTAGGGGGACACAGCTGTCTACCAGGGCTTTTATCCGGCTTCCCATCACCTGGATATGTGATAGTTACCAGGCGTCTTTGAATCTCTCGTTGTCTGAGCTCAGGGAAACCTGCACCCACCCATCCAGTCTCACAGGGGCAACAGGGGATCTAAGAGATGAGAGTAGGAGGGGTCTGGGACGGGTGACCTGTCAGGTGTGTCCGAGACAGGGGGTGGGCGCAGAATGCTGGTGGCTGTATTACCCTTTGTGCCTCCGGGTTCCCTCCAGAGTGTGGCTCAGCCCCCAACACCGTCACCATCCTGCTGGCTGTGGTGGGCAGCATCCTCCTGATAGGGCTTGCTCTCCTCGCCATCTGGAAGCTGCTTGTCACCATCCATGACCGCAGAGAGTTTGCCAAGTTCCAGAGTGAGAGCTCCAGGGCTCGCTACGAAGTGGTAAGCTGGTGGGCGATGCTGGAGAGATGTACTTGGGACCAATTGTATGTGAGTGATGGAGGCTGCTGGCCTCCTTGGCATTAAAAAGCCAAGAGCTTGCTGGGCCCTGGGGGCTCATGCCTGTATCCTAGCTACTCAGGAGGCTGAGATCTAAGGATCACAGTTCGAAGCCAGCCCGGGCAGGAAAGTCTGTGAGACTCCAATTAATCACAGATAAAGTCACAAGTGGTGCTATCACTCAAGTGGTAGAGTGATAGCCTTGAGCAAAAGAAGCTTAGTGTCCAGGCCCAGAGTCCAAGGCCTATGATAGGCACACACACAGACACACGCACACACAGACCCCCCAAGAACCATCAGGCCATAGTGAATACTGTGATCCCAGCTACACACACACACACACACACACACACACACACACGAACCATCAGGCCATAGTGAATACTGTGATCCCAGCTACACACACACAC